TCTTGACATCTCACGTTTACCAAACCGCGAACGGACTTTGATGAAGTTTTCCAGCTAACAGGTTTCATTTAATTTGATAATTGCCAAGCGCCCTGTAACTAATCTCGGAACTAGTCCTGCGTTAACCGGTTTTCAGCAACGTGAATGCGATTATCCAGCACAGTGGCATGGATGGATTTCATGTTTTAGTTATTTGAGCGAAGTTTCAGGAGTGGCACAGAGGGCTGTTTCAGTCTCACTCAAAGTTGTTGCGCGTGGGCGCTGTATTGAAACAAACTTCTACCGCCATTATACTTACGCCTTTTGGATGCCGTTGGCCAATTCCTTGAGGGCATCGGATCTGGCCTCGGCTTCTTCGGCGAGACGTTGCTCCTGTAGTTCACGAGCCCTCTCAGTTCTAATCAGCTCCTGAAAGGATGACCGGATCAGTAAATTCCCCATTGACGTCCCTTATTTCCTGTGTTTACTTTAAGATGCTGGAAACTTCCGCTCTGTGGAGTGAGCGGGAGATGAGCACCTCCGGACAACCGGAAAGCTGTGACCCTGCGTCTTGGCTCGGTGGTCTTTTGGACGTTGCCGTACATCCTGGCAACTTCCTCAAAGGCCCTGTTCCTCTCAGCAACATCCTGGATACGTAACATCGGGGGCTTATGGATCACGCGTCCATAGACAGGTCTTCCACGGTAACGATTTCCAACCCTTAATCTGCAAAACACATAGCCACAACTCCATTTCAATTTGTACACATCCTTATTTAAATAATTCCTATAAAGACGTGAAAATCAAAGAGTTAAGATCAAATACATTACAAAAAAAAATTGTTATACAATAAAGACTTTCCGCCTTTATAATAGACATAATAGTTTGATTACTAAAAACTATTTCAAATCATAAACCGCACATATTTGTATCAACAAAAATAAACGATTTTATGTGATTTAAAAAATTGGTTTCAGATGAAACGAAAATGTCAATATTTTCATTTATTGCATTATGACCGTGGTTCTTTTGGTTTAATTAAATTAAACGAATACTGATTGTTGAATAATAAAGAAAATATACAAACGAAAATAAAACGCGACTGGGGTTAATAATCGAAGCAATAAAAAAGTAGTCCCTTTTATAAGCTTGGATTGTTCCATTTATGTAAATGAATTGTATTGGATGGTACCAACAATGGAGTCTTTTGTTAGACCCTCACGTTTGTGAAACCTTTCCAAAAGCATCGGAGAAAACATGGCTCAAGCATTAAAACGAAATTTTATATAATATATTCTATATACATACATATATAAAATACACATTATATACACTTTCAGAAAAGGGAGCAGTATGACGGCTTATGCAATTAAAGCCGCATTATGTAAATGGTCTTTAAGTGGGTAGGCTTGGATTAAATTATGCGTGGCATGCAGATGAAATCCGGCTTGCAATTTCCTTAATAGCACAAGGAAGCTGGAAGAAGAGTATACATACACACACAGACATAGAAAAAAAATCGTTACCCGAGGTCTGACAATAATGTAATTACATATTCCTTGGAGTCCTGTAGTTATCCTTAATTCAATTGACACATTAAACTCGTCGCCGCAAGATGATCATTATCAAACTGATTATTTTTATTGACAAACATAAACATTGTCCCACGTTTTTTAAGTACCCAAATTAATTAATAAAATGTTAAATTACGTAAACTTTATTGAACAATAACGTTAATTAGGATAAAATAAAATTTGCGAGGAAGGAAATTATAGAGTTCAATTAAAACATTAAACCTATTTTGATGGTAATTAGTTATACTTAACTAAATTAGTCATTCTTTTTAATTACTATTTCAAGAATACTTATACTAATTTACTAAACACATTTTTTATAATAATTATATATTGATCCTTAAAAATCTCTCACATAACTATACTATCGGTTCTAAAGAATATTTTAGAAGCAGCACAAAACATTTTATCCTAGACTTTTATAAATCAATCATCCGTAAACTGTGAACCAGCCAGTGACTTTCATTTCAACGTTTTGGAAAAGTCCATGCTGCGAACGAAATCCAAAGGCTTGTCGAATCCGTTGTGGTCGGACAGCTTTAGAATGTGTCCATTAAACGGATTGTAGGACGTTATTTTATTGTCAGAACCTCGGAAATTTATGCCATGAACATGTAGGCTTTTAAATCAATCCCCTAGTAATTAAGTTTCAAATAAAGCTGGATTACTCAGTTTTCATAATCATATATCACAAACGGAAGTTGGAGCATCATTGTTTTTTTGCATTGAATTTCTCATATATTAAAGAATTTAACCATGCTTTAAATACTATTCATTTGCATTTTTTTTCAATAACAGCTGTTTTATTGGGTATTCAAAATTTGTTTTGTTTTAAAATAAATAGGTTTTGTTTCAACTAACAAACGGCCTGTATTAAATTCGTTCACATCCGTTTTGCATTCTGTATGGAATTTGCAGCAAACGGTGCCAATTAATGATATTCTGTTATATAATTATTTTAATGTAAACATTGTTTCATTATCATATTTATTAATTGCATTAAATTAATAATCCGAAATGAAAATGTTAATTATAATTAATTAATTGTCTTTGTGATATAATTGATCTAAACAAGAACATATTAAAAAAAAATTAGTGGAAATAGATTAAATCATTAGTACGAATTTTTCTACACACAATATTGGAAAAAAGAATAAGAAACAAATTTAATATTACGTAACTATATGTTATTTAGAGATCTGTTTTGTTCTTATATAAATTATTTGGTTTGTTAATTAAGTTAAAAAAAAATGGTATAAACTTTAATCAATTGCAACAAAGAATAACGTTGATCTGCGCTATATTTTATTACGTAGAAGTCATAAATAAGACATATTCGTTTTCATTTATGAGAACCCTCGTGTATATGTTTCAGGGAACAAATGGGACAAATGAAATCCCGGAATCTTGAGTGTTGTACTCTTGACATTTCGAGCAGCATCCAGATATAATACGACATAATACATGCAAATACGTAGGAATATTGTATGTGCTTGAAGAAAATTGAAAAATCGAATTACTGCTGCATACGCGTTCTAAGGAAAATCGAAGTGGATTAAAGTCCACATTCGATCATAAAATAAATATGCGAGCGGCTGAAGGTCAGGGGCAACAGGAATCCATGCAGCTGAATTTCATAAATATTACAGAATATACGAAATAGACTGAAAAGGATTGAAAACTGCAAAAAAAAAATCTACATAATAAATATGAAAATTAAATTGAAATTTCGAGGTAAAACGTGCGGATAAAAAAAGAAGTTAGTTTTCGATGGGAAGTTTTCGTGGTGAATTAATTCCTGGTGCGTGTGTAAACAGCAGATGGAAGGATGAAACGTGGGGGTGGTTTTGAAGGATTTTATGTAAATGCGAAATATTCCTGGAATCATCGTTCCGGATGAATGGATTTCTTTTGGGGACTCACCCTCCCATGCTTCTGCTGCGGGCGTAGTACGGTTCCCAAACGTTGTAGGCAAAGGGGTCGCGATAGGTCGGTATTTCGTTAGTGATTTCAGCAGCCCTGGACTGTCTCTTAGAGAAACGCCACATAGCCTTCAACTCTTCACAGGTTGGCTCGTTGTTAACGGCGTCTTTACCGGAGACCACCTCTCCGGAACCACGGTACTCCTTGTTCCTGGTTATGGTGAACGATCTGGTCTGTTGGCAAACCAACCACCAGATGAACACCGTCCTCAGCAACGAGCTGACTTGCATCTGAAACAGAAAATTAAAACAGTTTTATAAGAATTTTTCTTAAGAAATTATAAGGTCCTAATTTGCGCCTTCCCCCGTTTAATATTCTATTATATATTTTAATATATGCATTGTTTCATTATAATAAACTTATTAATTATATTAAATTAATGAATTAATAACCTGAAATAAAACTCATTAATTATATAAATTAATTAAAATCTTACAATTTCAATAATTCATAGTAAATTTTGTTTCTTAACTTTCATATAATTATGAAAATTAATAATTTTTTTTTAAATAACAAAAAAATATGAAATGCTTTACTTCAGTTAAAATTACTTCAATTGTGTCGCATTGTAAATGTTTTATTATGATATGAAAGGAACGGAAATGTTTAATTCCAAGAACGAAGGAGGTTGGAGGTAATTGTATAATATTTAAGAGATAGTTATTACGAAGTGTCCTTTGATGTTCGTCGAAACGTTTCCTTCGCTTGTACACTTCTTATGGGCAATCTAATTCTATACTTGCCCTTCTGGGCAACGGAAATATTATTGTGATCTCGCTAAAAGGACTTGCTTCCTCGATATAAGAAGAAAAATACGGTATTTGCTCCTTACAAAAGTAGCAATTCGGTCGAAAAGAGAAGAATGAATGAATGAACTTCAATTACTTCTTTCCAACGAAAACGACTCATTTTAAAAATGCATACCTCTATGATTTTTACTGTGTACAATGTAACAAAGAAACATCAAATTCGTATTATGCATTCGTAAATAAATATAAATGTCGTATTTCTGATTCAATGTAATGAAAATTAATTATTTACTAAAGCTAAATTTGCAATGAAACTAATTAAATTGGGACTATTCGAGGCTTTGCTGCATTTAATATAGTAACCAAATTGCCTACTAATGAATAATGTATATATTACAAGCTCCTGATTTTGGCGTATACAGACCGCAATTCTCGTGTATTTGTGCAAATCGAGGTGTAATATGTTATGTGTATTATTCAATTTGCCTTTCATCTAGCAGATTGCAGGATTTGAATCTCAGGATCGCAGCAGTGCAAATTTACATAAAGCGAGGTTTACTGTCCCTCTCTTTTTCCACTCTTTATTTTCTCCCCTTTAATTTTTTGTTTGTTCCACAAAACCGAAAAATTTTCCAATCTCAGGTTCAATCTCGACCTTATTCCCGGAAAGTTGTTAAATCTAATATACGTGTCACTATAAATTTTCCTGCTATGCATATTTTCTTTTTTTTGTCCCTCTCTTTATATATATCACATTAAAGCGAACATGTGCACTTTGACAGGTCTCTGGGATTTCGATTCAAATAAAGTTAAATTGCAAAGTTATTTTCGCATTTCATATGTATTAAACTTAATATTGCATATTGTATCGAACGGCATATATCGAACTCAATCTAAAATTGCAAAACGGAATTAATACGGAAATATATCAAGGTTTTTTTTCTGACAATTCTGCTCAGAGACTTCCGTCAAAAGTAAAATTAATCTAATCAACTATACGTTGCGACACGAGACAACTGTTTAAGGCATTCCCGGGAATTCTCAAGAAATTTAGTAAGTTTTTAGTATTAATAATAATAACCTTTATTGTAACCAATATATTCAAAAAGTTAAGTATTTTTATATTATCTCATATTCTAAAATAGTTGATTGATTACACCTAAATTGAATGATATATCTAATATTATTAAATTGAATGTTTTTTCTAGTAGAAATATTGCTACTATTTAGCAATTTCGTTAGAGATTGTGTTCAAAATAAGTATAAAGTTTGGTAGTTTTAGATATGTAATTGAGTTGACATGGGCGGTGGTTAAGGATGATGGAAAGGTTTCTTGCTGGCGAAGGCAGCGTAATCAAGCCCCGTGAATATTCAGGCCCGCAATAACTGTGAAATATAGCCAGCACTTCATAGATTCTATTTCAGGGGTTGGAGGGACCACGGAGGGGCCGATGGAAAAGCTTGGATCTGGTCAGGAGGAAAGGAGACAGAGCGAGCCGCGTTTATCAATGAAACCGGAGGGATTTTAGATAGCAACAGGTGTATATGCAAAGTAGCATCACGTGCTGATATTCATGGGCAACCTTTAATAACTTCATCCAATTTAGACCAACCTATATATATACACACATACATGTTTGTATGCAGAATAAGGGATGAAACAAAACTTCAGAAATAATGGATGGAAAAAAAGAGTAATAATAATAAAAAAACTATCCCCAATTCACTTAATGCAACGCAACCCCTTGTATGCACTCCAATTCGTAGTTGAGGAGCAATCGCACCAGGAAGTGAATGTGTTTGCACCATTGAAACTATTGATCGGAATCTGCCACCTCCAATTCGGTGCCAAACATTCCCAAAGGCCGTATTACAGGGGAAAATCGGTTTGCTTCATTTCAACCATTTAAACTGGACATCCAATAATTTACTCACACCCTTCTGTCGTGCGGTATTTGTTTTTGTACAACGATAAATTCCAATCAACTATAATTCAATTGCATTACAATCCAAACATTAACTCAACTCAACTCACTTCGCTACGCGACAATTTCAATGTCAATTTCCGCTAATCCGTACAACTAATTCCTAATTCCTAAATTAAACTGAACGCAATTGTATACATCTATCAAATCGTTAAATACATACTATAAAACATTTTAAATTAATTAAAAATAGTTTTTAATACTAATCGAATTATTTATTTTGAAATACTCAACGAACAAATAAATTATTCAATAATGTTATGAAACAAATACAAATATGAAGACAACTAATGTATTTATACATGATGAACATTGAGACTAAATACTATTTTTTTTAGTTGTTTGTATTTGATGAAAACTTATTAATAAAACTTCTTGAGTATTGAAGCTCCAAATTGATCACTCAATTATTTTGCTGGTTTTATAGACAAGTCTAAGTTTTTTTGGTATGTAGTTCTTAGCTAAGGGTAAAATAATGTATTGCGGAAAGAAGAAGGATAATGGGTTTCTACATTACATCCGTTCTGAGGATGGAACTGGTCCTGAATACCAAAACTGTACAGCAATGTGCAGGACCACTACTAATGACAGAGGGTCTAATCCTTAACCTTGCAGCCACAACATCATTAGAGTTCCTCCCATTCCATTAACTTCTCGTTCAGGTTTACGGTTAACTTTTTGCAGTTGTTGTACTTTATGAGGGAGCCGTCGTAAAATTTGGCAATTCGTTTCCTTAACATCTGCGGCGATTTATTGCGACGATCAATCCGACGGTACGTTGCGACTCGGTAAGCTACAGATAATAAAACAAAGAGAGAAAAAACAACATACAACAAAAACGAGGCAGAAAGAGTTCCGCAATTTATCGCCAGGTGCTTTTTCCCCTCATGCCCTTCGCTAATAAGAGATTTAGCAAATGAGTTATTCCGACATCTTTAGCACCTGTTACGCTCTAAGCTGGCCGCATTTGTTAGTTGTTGCTTGGATTCAGCATTACCCTACATTTAGGATGAAGGCTGCGAAGCCCTTATTGAATCTGTTCCAGTGTAGCTAATGCATTTTCCACTTGCACGTTTCTTATTACGAGCTGAGAGGACGGGTAGGATTGGGTAGGTCCCTCTTTCCAGGTTCATAAAGCTCAGAAATAACCTTTGAGATTTTCTTCATCCTGCTAGGAAGTGCTCAAACGATTTGATGGGTGGAAGGGCAGCAAGTTGATTTTCTTTGCGTTCCGGCCATTAGCTAATTCCTCTCATGTCGGACGGAGCAAACCAACTTCCGTCAGTTCCTTTTTCATTAAACGCAAAGCGGAATTCAATCTACTTCAGATTCTCTTCTTTTCTCTTTCCTTGTTGCAGTATTTTTCTCTTAAAACCACGTCGATACACAGATTCCAATTGTCGACCTACAAAATTGGCATTCCCAAAGTCGTCGGACCGACAAATAGGCCGTTTATTGTTTCCACGGAAATTCATTCAGCCATTTCCGGTCATGTAACGAATTCTCCAAATATGCAGCAAATCGCTTCGAATTACATAGCTTTATAACAATGAAACAATATTAATTTCATGTAAAACGGATGCTGATGTATTTGGATGGATAAATACATCACATTTCAACATTAAAAATTCATATATGTAAAAAAAAAACTTATTTCAACAAGAATATTTTATGATCCTGATTCAATTTTTTTTAGGACAAAAAATTTATAACTAATTTTCTTTGTAATTATTTTTACTTAATTTTTAACGTAATGTTTATATAATAAAGGTAATTAGAATCAAAGTATGAAATATCATAATTAAGAAACATCTTAACTGGGAAATTGTGCAACAACAAATTTTAACAATGGGTAACTAAACTATGATATGAACAACTATGTTTTACTGAAACTTTATACCTTGCATCTCTATCATCATTGCACTTGGAAGAAGTATATACGGAACAAACGGAAACAACTTGGAATCGCATCCATCGAAACTTTCAGACCACAAATATTTAAAATCCAGTATGTAAAATGTAATATGAGATTGAACTTGTATAATATTATTTAAATAATTATTTGTTAAGAAGAAAATGAAATTCTTGAAAGGAAAAAAATGAAAAAAAATCTAGTAACCTAACTTAATACTAGTACCAAAAAAATAGTAATATGTTTATATATAATACCAAAATGTATGAATAACTAAAAAATAAATCCTAAAAAATAGCATGTTACAATTTTTGTTACTAAGAAAGTATGTCCATTGATATCAAAAGTGACGTGTAATTACTGTCGTTCGTCTCCAAGTATTTTCTAATTTATTCCGCAAAGACGAAGAAAGAAAGAAAAAATAAGAGGAGAGGAGACACAAATAGTTTAGTCGCTAATTGCTTTTTCCATCCCCCTGCGTCTCCATTCTGTATCTCCTTAATTTTTGCACGTCGCAAAATTAATTAATTTCATTATAAAATTACGCGCTCGGAATTTAATTCCAGCTCAAGCGAGAAGAAAAA